AAAAAAAAAAAAAAAAAAGAAAGAGGGTTCCCTAGCTGTGGCTTTTACTGGACACTAGTACCCTGCACCCTACCAGAAAGCCTACCTATCCACAATGCTCAGAAGAGTTGGGGTACATCTAGTAGCCGCTGAGTCTTCTGGGGCAGGAGCAGGATACACCAATGCCCAGACCAGGGATGAGCTGCCCTTGAAGTGATGACTTGGTCTGATCAACCCATCTGTCTGCTAGTCTACCTGTGAGTGAGATGATCCATCCATCCATCCATCCAAAATGATCGATTCATCTATCTACCCACTTGCCCACCTACCCATTCACCCATTCACCGTACCCATCACTCATTCATCCATTCGTTCGCCCACCTGTCTGCCCATCCACCCAGAAGTTAATTTATCCAGTCACCCACCTATCCATTCCTTCACCATTCATCTTCTCCATATACCCACCCATCTAAATATACATCCATATGTCCATCCATCCACCCATCCATCCATCCCCTTATGTATCTGTCTAGCACTCCACCCCTCCCCCACAACTACACCAAATTCTTGGCCCCCACTCTGGGCTTGCCACTACACTAGACCGAGAGATGGTATAGCACGTCCTCTGCTCCCAGGGAGCTCAGTCTGGCCTATGCTCACAGGGCCTACAGCTTGAGGAGAAAGGACAGAGTCCGTGAGACAGCTGGGTGCTCAGTAAAGGATGGGGGTACAGATGCTCGGAAGGGCTCCTGGGGCTCGGGGTGGCGGCTGAGCAGGAATGAGCTGATTTGCAGGGTTCTCCAGGTAGATGTGCCAGTGACTTTTGAGCAGGGCACAGAGAGGGAGCACTGATTCTCCCAGTGCCAAGAAGCTGAAAAGGGGCAATGGCAGCTGAGCTAGAGGCCTGGGGAGAGGGGCAGCGAGTGAACGGGGTGGGGGGGGCTGTGTCAGAGAGGTGAGGCTGGGAGGCCCCCGGGGGAGCCACAGCCCCACCAGCCCGAGGTCTGCACGGCCGACACATCCGTCATTCTCAGCGTACGCAGACATGCTCGCCCTTCTCTCCTGATTAGGTTAGGGATGCCTGAGAATCAACAGTCTCCGGCCAGCGTGCCGCCTCTGGGGCAGCTGTGGTGCAGACCGACGTCAGCTCTGAGCTGTGTCTGGCTGGAGGTGCAGGAGGAGGGGATGGAGGACACAGGGGGATCAAGGTGGCCCAGGGAGCATCTGGGCAGGCTGCTCACTCACAAACACACCGCCGTCTGCCCCAAACACAGAGCCTCCTGCGAGTGGGCACACACATGTGTAGGGAGGGCAGGGGAGGGCGGCTGAGCGGGCGTTGATGATGAGGCCCGTTTTACAGGTGGAGTGACAAGGTCAAGGTCGTGTCGTTCCTGATGGGGGGAGAATGGGGCCTTGTAAATCTGAGCTGTGTGTGTCATGTCGTGAGGGGGCTGCTGCTGGGTGGGCCTTTGCCCAGGTGGGACCAGGGAGGGCCAAGGGAGTCATGGCACCCTGACCCGTGCTGTTACAGAGCTGGGTGCTGGGAGGAAAGTCAAACTGAGAGGTCTCAGGAGGAATGGCATGTCTAGCACGTGGAGGGGACACGGCAGTACCGCCGGGGCAGGGTCACTGCCGGCTGAGCTGGGCAGGAGAAACTGGGTCAAAGGCAGAGCTGGGAGACAGCCCCACAGAGCCCACGGAGGAGGGAAAGGGAGGAGGCAGGCAGGCGTCTGGTTTCCATTCTGCCACCGGGAGCAGAGGCACGTAATTGGCGTTCAGGAGGGCTGCGTGGGCTGGGTTCAATCTGCAACGAGTCTTCTTCAATTTCCTCTCCTCAGACCCCGCGCGGGCCTCGAGACTGCTCTACTTGATGCTAATGGGAGGACACACATCCCTCATTCTCCAGGAAGGGCCTCAGTTCCATGGGGCGGGCACCTTGGGGAGGCTCCATCTGGGCCCCTGGCCTCCAGGAGGAGGGAGGGCTGGCGGGGGTGGGGGTGAGCTCTGAGCTTTACGCGGCTGGGCCCTGGGACCAGAGGCCCGTGCTAGCAGCCTGAGCTTCCTGCTAAGCTTGCTTGTGCTGGAGCCCCGGCCCTCCCCTCCCTGTCATTGAGACACTGAGGCCAATGGCCACTGCTGCCACAAGCTGACCACCTGTCACGTGCCAGGGCTGGGCCCCATGTGTTCCCCACAGTATCCTAACGGCAACCTAGGAGGCATGTCCCATTGGACATGTGGGGAAACCAAAGCTCAGAGGAAGGCACAACTAGCCTGAGAGTCCCACCACCGTGGGTACACAGAAGAATGAGGATTTGGGTCCAGGTCTGTCTGATGCCAAAGCCCACACCCTCCCTCCCCAGCACCTGCTCCTTCCTGCGAGAGGCTGAGCCCTGTGGCTGGGTGCATCACTCCTGGCTACCGCTGGGGGCGCCTCTGGGAAGGGGTCCTCATCTCCCAGCAATCCAGGGGGAGGTACTCCTGGGCTTGCCTCTTGAGTGGCACATGGCGTGATGAACATCCATAGGCTGGGGGACTGGTCACTCTCTGGGATGAGGTCTTCAGAGCACCAGCAGGGCTGCATTGGGGGCTGTGTAACTTCACGATACTCCCTGCCCCTCTCTGTGCCTGTTTCCTTTCCTGTACAATGGTCTAATTTCCTAGGACCTTTTCTTTTCTTGGGGCCTTTTTTAAGACAGCTGGAGCAGAGGAGCAGGAAGCTCAGGTCTGGGAAGGAAGGCGATGAGAGGGGCATCACAGTCCAGAGCGTACAAACAGAGCCCAGAGAGGGAACCACACTGGCCCACAGTCATATAGCTGGGGAGGGAGGGCGACGCTTGTGCTGGAACCCAGGAGTGTGATTCCAGCATCAGGCTGGTCTGTGCCTGCATGCCAGCAGTGGCCTCACTAGGCGGGTGGTCAGGGAGCCCAGGCAACTCACCACGCTCACCGTCACCCCCACCTAGCACTCCAGCTGCCATGGGGCTGCACTCAGGCCTGCACCACCCACCTGCTTGATGCACTGCAGTCGGTCATTGGTCTGCTGGATGTGCCTGTCCATAGAATTCATTCTGGCCGTTTCGCTGGGCTCTACCCGAGAGCCATGAACGTTGGCCAGCCTGTGAAGAGAGAGGAGAGGGCGTCACAGGGTGCACCAGGCCTGCCAGCTTCGCACCAGCCTCCCAGCTGTCCTCCCAACACCGGAGGGTCTCAGGGCCCTGTGGGGCTGTGGGGAGCATGGCTGGAGCACCTGCTGGACCGGAGGCAGGAGGAGCTCCAGAGTGCTGTGTATGTGGCTCGTGTGAGCACTGGGCAGGCATGCCAGCCAGGGGACAAGGAACTGCACGCATTTCTGAAGTGGGTGCGTGTTAGGTGGTGGGGAGGGGTGGCGCATCCACCCCAACTCTGGACTCCTGGCTCAGGGCTTGGCCCACTCGATATGGCTGTGTGTGTGTGCGCACATATGCATGAGTTCGTGCATGTGCGTGGACCTTCCCACGTGATGACCTTCACTGCCCGTGTAAAGATCTGTCACAGATGCCACCTGCCCTCCCATTCCACAAGCCTTACACTTTACAAGCCACTCACTTTTTTCCCACTTTGCAAGCTACTCACAACTCCGTTTTTCCAATTTGCCCTCCTGGATAAGGATAATTAGTATGCGCCACATCCGTTTTCCAGATAAGGAAACCGAGGCTAAGAGAGAGGCAGGGAGCATCCCAGGTGGCACAGTGAGCCAGTGTCAGGGCCCATACCAGGAACCAGGACTTCCCACTCCCTGCTCAAGGCTATTTCCACTGCACAGGGCTGAGCAGTGGTGTTCATGGTTGTGCTGGGCTCACCCTTCCTGAGTGGGGGTTGTCTGGGAGCATTAACTTGAGTGACCAGCCAGGCTTGGTGGCTCAGTCTGTAATCCCAGCACTTTGGGAGGCTGAAGGGAGAGGAGTGTCTGAGCCCATGGGTTCAAGACCCACCTGGGCAACTTGACGAGAGCTCGTCTTTACAATAAAACAAATAAACAAACAAACACGAGTGACCTTTTACTCTGGATGGCAGGGCTAAGTGGAGGAGGCCCCTTCAGCTCCAGAAGCCCCAATCCCCCACCCCGGGAGGTCACAGAGCTAGAGGTGGAGAAGAGAGAGGAGAGACCAAACAGTTCTAGTCCACCCCTGCTCAGGGATCCAGGTTCTTGGCCAAAGTGAGCATCTGCCCGCTGCCAGCAGTCTGTCCTTCCGCACAGGGGGCAGACCCCGGGGGCTGGAGAGGAGGCCTGGGGCCCCGGTTTCTCTGCTATACTGCCACACTGTGCCCCCCAGACCCCTCACCTCCAGCAGGCCACCAAAGGTCCCACTGACCCTAGACTTTTCATGTGCTGGGCACTTGCCTTCCCTCCTTCTCTCTTCATGCCCACTCTGTAAGGCTAGGTTTAGCTCCACTTCACAGATGAGAAAATGGAGGCCCCAGATCTGTCGAGTCCCCGGGCTGGTGGAGTGTGGCCTGTATCTGCACGGTTGTCTGTCTGGTCTGGCTCTTTGCCTCCAGCATATTCAATACCCTTGTGGGGGGAGTCAGCGCCACTGCTGGGCCCCAGCTTGGGAAGAAAGTCCTATTCCTTCCCCGAGCTCTTTCCACATACCCTTTACGGCAGTTTGTACTATTCCACGAGTGTCTGTAAAGGTCATTCATTTGCAGGGTTCAAAACGCTGAAAGTCCACAGGGTATCCTGGTCCCATCCCCAGTCCTTCCGAGGAGAACCAGTGCTATCAGTCCCCCTTTCAGAGAGGCTCATCTTCTAGAAGCAAATGTCTACGTGTACTATCCAGTATGTTTTCTTAAAAAAAACCAACAACAAAACCCCAACATAAAATGGTTGGGCGTGGTGACTCATGCCTGTAATCCCAGCACTTTGGGAGGCTGAGGTGAGAGGACTGCCTGAGCCCAGGGGTTTGAGATCAGCCTAGGCAACTTGGTGAGACCTTGTCTCTACAATAATTAAAAAAAAGTTAGCCGGGTGTGGTGGTGAGTGCCCGAAGTTCCAGCTACTTGGAAAGCTGAGGCAGAAGGCTCACCAGAGCCCAGCAGGTCGAGGCTGCGGTGGCTGTGAGCATGCCACTGCACTCCAGCCTGGAGAACAGAGTGAGACCCTGACTCAAAAAAACAAAACAAAACAAAAGATAACATTCTATACACAGTATCTGGACCTTGTTTCCCCCCCCTTAGTAATACATCCCAAAATTCTTTCCAAACCAAGACAGAAAGAGCTTTTTCACTGTGTAAGACTGCACAGTTTTCCGAGGCACAGAGGACACATTTACCCAACTAACAGCTGAGTAGCCCTCACTGCCAGGGGCTGTTCTCAGACCCTGGGGCCCCAGACAAGGCCCTTCTGCTCAGGGAGCTCACACTCCAGCCTGGAATGACGGTGCCTGAAGTGTTTCCAAAATGTTATCAGGGCAAACAGTGTTGCAGCAATGACCGTTTACCCGGGCACACCATGCCTGTGTGAATGCATCCAGGGAACAGGCTCTCAGAAGCGGAGCTGTGGGTCGTGTGGGTCTTCGTACTTTGGATGAGTGCTTTCTGGAGCTTTCCAGCAAGGAGGCAAGAGTAGGGGCTGTGCCCATCTTTATTCCCTCCACCCTCCTCCTGCCACCATGCCTCCCTCCGTCCCATTTGCCATCCATCACTTATCCATCTAATGCCTGCCCGTCTACCCATCCACCCTCCCTGTCCGTCCAAACATCCCGTCTCTCTGTTCATCCACACACGCTTCCACTAGCGCAGGAAATACTTTCTAATAACTAGACTGTGCTGGGTCATAGGCCAGATCGATGGGGTGGGCGGAGATGAAAATGAAATAATTTACTTGCATTCAAGGAACTTTTAGTCCAAGCCTAGATTTTCTCCAGGTTACCTATTAGGTGACTATGTGTTGGGCTCCTCCTGTGAGTCAGGTGCGGGGCCAGGCAGGGCACAGACAGTGGTATTATGTTCCCACTTTACAGATGAGGAAACTGAGGCCTGGAGGTTATAGCAGCTGGCTGGGTTGGAGCCAGCTCCAGAATCCTGGCTTTCCCATTACAACCTACACTTTTTTTTTTCGAGTCGGAGTCTCACTCTGTCGCCCAGACTGGAGGGCAGTGGCCGCTCCCAGCCACTGCAGCCTCGACCTACTGGGCTCCGGCGATCCTTCTGCCTCAGCCTGCCGAGTAGCCGGGATTACAGGCGTGCGCCACCACGCCCGGCTGATTTTTTATTTATTGTAGAGATGAGGTCTCGCCAAGTTGCCCTGGCAGGTCTTGAACCCGCGGGCTCAGGCAATCCACTCACCTCAGCCTCCCAAGGCGTGGGATTACAGGCTGAGCCACACTTTTAAACAGGTATGTGGAAGGGGCCGGGGGCACAGGTGTATGGGGGACGGGGGAGGACATGGTGAGGGGAATTATGGACAAACCACGGTGGGGAAGTAGGGTCACAGGAGGGGCCCTCAGCAGAAGCAAGCCAGTGCCACCTTCACTAAGATGTGCCAGGCCCCATCTGAGCCGAAGTGCTCTGGTGGTCTTCCAGGCACGTGACACACAGGGCTGCAGAGGCCCGGGTCCGGTGCGGGGCATGGGTGTATGCTGGCTGCCGGGGTTCCTTGGATAGCACAGCTTCCACAGCCAGCTGGGACACAGCCTCCACAGTCAGGCTGTGCCCAGGGATGCACCCGGCAAAGGCCTGGGTGGGCTCAGCTCCTGGTTGGAGGAGTCGGAAGGGAAGTGCAAAGAGGCGCCCAAGCCTCCACTCTGTCCGCAGGCCACAGCCAGCTAGGACAAAGGGCCTGTGGTGGCCCAAGGAGACAGCAGAGGGCGCTGTTGACAAGCCAAAGTGTCCAGAGGGCCAGAAATGGACACCGGAGGTTCCGGGTGTTCTGGGGGGTGCCCTCCTCTTCTGCACTCCAGTAAGTACTCGGGTGTCCCTGACTGGGTTGGGGGACTTCTAGCAGGTTTTTCTGATTTCTAGGCCTTGGTGTCTCTACTTGTGGAAAGAGCAGCATGGCACAGAGGGGGCCTGAGGCGGTCTCTAAAGAGAAGCTTTGCCTAGGATGGGCATGGCATTTTGTCCTGGGTCAGAGACCCAGTGGGCCTTAATAAGCACTTGTTGAGTGACTGAAAGATCGTTTCTGGATCCTGGGGGTACTCAGCCCACCCAGGGAAGCCACAAGCAGGCACCAGGAGCCCAGATCCACCAGGCCAGCCTTGGGGCTCAGAGGCTGTTCTGTTCTATAAAGCCACAACAGCTGGTTTCATTTTGAGGAACCCGTGACCCATAGGTGGTTTGCTCAAGGTTACCCGGAACTGGGCAGGGTCCAGAATGTGGGGGGCTTTTCTCCCAGGCCGGGACACCCGCAAGACCCAAAGATGGGGAGGCAGCTGGCAGGAGGGACATCACACATTTCTTAATCAATAACAGAACGAAAGGCCAACTCACGAAGGAGGTGCCTAGAGGCGAGGGGGCATTTTTAAACTGCTGAGGCCAATGGTGGGACCCTGAAGTTAACTAACACCAGGAACAGATGAGACTGGAGACTTGAGTCCTCACAGAAAAGTGTCCCAGGCACGAAGACACAAGGGAAGCTGGGTGAGGCACGCGAGAGACAGCTTGCTGAGGGACAGGCTGGGACCTTCCGTTTTCTCTGTATCTGCTATGTTGAGGCACCAGGCCAGGTCCTGTGCGGTGCTAAGCTTCTTAAGCCTCAGAGAGGTGAAGTAACTTGCCCAAGGCCACACAGCCCGGAAGCTGCCGGGCTGAGATTCAAACACTCTGCCTTTCTGTTACTGTGCTGTTCTTTTTACTCCTCTGGACTGGAGGTCAGAGCCTCCTGGCAGTCCCCACATCAGGCTGTGACCAGACCCAAAGAGATGTCCTCCTTGTTCCATCCAACCTGCCCAAACCCAGTCCCTCGCTTCCAAGGCCGTCATCCCAGCAGCACTGGTCTCACCGCACACGGGCCGGCGCTGGGAGGTGGCGAGCAACCGGCGGCCGGCAGAGGTCGCCCTTCGCCGCGGGAGCGCCACTCTGCTGGGCCGCGGCCCCCGCCGGCGGGCGCCTGGGCTCCTTTAAGCCCTTACAAGTC